TGATTGACAATTGGTTAGGCCTGTGTACAAAATGCTGGGTCTAAAAAGTAGTATCGCTTGCAGAGTCCTTAAGCCATTTCAACTGATGCGGATAAAATTATTAATTCAACCTACTCTTTCATACTCATTTTACTTTTATATTGGGTGATTAACTATCTTCTCGATGTTTCTGTCATCTATCTACCTTTAAATGAGCAAATCTTATATAATTATACTAGCTGCCGCCCGCGACTACGTCTGCGTAGAGGGGTGAAAATTTAGGGTTGTATGTATTTTTGTATGCTGTGTCATAAAAAAAATAAAAACAAAAAATTTTGCCTAAAAAATAAAAAAAAATTTTTGAGGTGGACTACCCTTAACATTTAGGGGGATGAAAAATAGATGTTGGCCGATTCTCCACCCTGGCCGACAATCACGCTAAGGATCACAAAAATCGGTCGAGCCGTTTCGGAGGAGTTCAAGTTCGAACCCTGTGACACGAGAATTTTATATATTAGATATAATATAATCTGAAACTTACGGCTACAACGATTTTAATGAAATTCAGCATGTAGTAATTCATCATTTCGAGGGCGATAGATGGATCTAGCTAGATTTCATTTTTACGGGACAAAACTTCGTTTTATCGTGTTTTCAGGCAATGAAAAACCGCAATATCATTAGAATACAAGGGGAAATTCCGCCACTGTCTACAAGGATATAATAGCTTAGGTGGGAAATTTTTTGAAAAGGATTTCTGCGAAGACAAGGCGATTTATAGTCACAATTCCGTTATGCACTAAGCCAAACTCGCTAAACTGAGGCAGTTATAATATTAATCAAATTATTAACCCTCTAGTTAAAAAGAGAGAGATTTCAATATTCAACTAAATAAGAATTTACAGTATTATTTTTTTTTATGTGAGGAAGTAGTAAACGAGCTGGCTTTTCAACTGACGATAAGTGATAACCGCCGCCCATGGACATTTGCAACACCCGTAGATTTGCTTGCAGATGCGTTGCCACCTCTTAATAAAGTGGGCCCCGGCTACCTCACTCACAGACGAAACGAAGAAGTGCAACACTTCTACTTTACGCCGGTTTTCTGCGAGGGCGTGGTACTAACCCGGACGGATCTGCCCATTCGTGCAACAACGAACACTGTTGCGTGGTCCTACCACCGTAATATACACGTATAACACGTATACCGTATAACATACAAGTATATCTTAAATATACAAAAACAATTTAAATTATGTGCAATTTAAAATACATGCCCGGCAGTAAAGAAAACATCGATAAGGAACGTGGTTTTCTACGTTCTGTATCTTGCCCAAAAGCGGGTCTTAACTAGATTGATGGCTTTTTTAGGGTTCCGTACCCAAAGGGTAAAACGGGACCCTATTGCTAACACTCTACTGTCTGTCTGTCTGTCACCAGGCTGTACCTCATGAACCGTGATAGCTGGACAATTGAAATTTTCACAGATGATGTATTTCTGTTGCCGCTATAACAACAAATATTAAAAACAGAATAAAAAATATTCAAGTGGGGCCGTGTTTTTGCAGTTTTTATAGATAATGGTACGGAACCCTTCGTGCGCGAGTTCGACTCGCATTTGGCAGGTTTTTTTACTTGACCAAAGGCGGGCGATCGATAAACTTGTACGACAAGAACTTCGAGCAAGTTCGTAATGACTCGTACCCATTGCTTTTACACACGATTCCTTAAAACTAAAATATCTCTGACATATAATATTTGTCATGCGTAAGGTGCAGGTCACCAAAGAGAGAAAACAACAAAGCGTCAGTTATGGTTATTTAATGAGTTTTTATGGAATTCTTGTTTTATCAATCTTTGTCTGTCCCGTTTAAGCTCACTAGTCGATTACAGCTACCATTGGGCACCTATGTTTAGTATGCAGCAGGGAGACAAGTTAGATTCGACGACCGCTACAGTGAACGAAATTGATTTCGGGACGAATGTCCAACGTTTCCATAAGCTGAAGCAAACTTAAACATAAACGTGAAACGTCACTTTCGATCCAAAGTGCACACGATGGACGTCAATTTGAAGTTAAAGTATCGTATAACCGTCTCAATCTCGTAAACGATGCTATGTACAAAAACACACTATATCCGAGAAAAGATTTTCAGATCAACGTTCAATCTAAAACAAAATCATTTAATCATCGACATAAGAAAAGTACGTTTCATTTATCGATAGTTATTTTTTTAATCTACCACCGTTTCGTAATGAGGTTCCTCTAACGGAGAAGAAACAGGCGAAAGAAACTCCGTAGGTATCCTCTTTTTTGTAACTTTTTTTCTAAACAAAACTAAAATATTATAAAACTGTTTTTATTTTTATTTTAGAAATAGCTTGGGAGCGATCAACTCTGGATTTATATTGTAATAACCCTTTTAAAGTGTTTCCTTAATAAATTTCTTAAACCTGTACATAGGCAGGTTTTGCGCATTTACGGGGTATTTTTGGTGGTATTTTGTAGTAGAAGCGTATACACCGCCCCATGGACAACTTATTTACTCCATGGAGTCAATTTCAAATATGAATATGATAATAAAAGGTATTGGGGATCTATTGTCGGACTTCATAAGTCTTGGAAAGGTGTTATTTCAAATTAGTTTGGACCAAGTGAAAGAGAGGTTAAATTCGAGATTTAAAAATACGTAGTAGTATGAAATGAGTTGTCTTTTTTTGGCAATTAAGACTTAATGCGTGTCACATAAAAGTTGAGACATAAAGCGAGCGTTGTTAGTGTTTTGGGCACATATTAAGCCATCGGACCATTTAACGTTGGTAGAGCCACGCAGCAGCCTCGGCTGTTGCACAAATGGGCGGACTCGTCCGATTAAGTACCACGACCTCACAGAAGACCGGCGTAAAGTGGAAGTATGACAAATACTTTCGCGTTTCGTCTGGTGAGTGAGGTAGCCGGAGCCCAATTTCCGAAAAGGTTGTCAACGCATCTGCAAACCCTCGGGTGTAGCAGGTGTCTATGGACGGCGGTATTCACTTCACATCACGTAAACCGTCTGCTCGTTTGGCAACATTTCACATAAAAAAAAAAATCGGACTACTCAAAATGGATTACTTCCTGCGACCTGATATGCCTGAAATTCTTCAATATCTATACATATAAGTTATGTTTACTTCGATCGGACGAATGCTATATGAGTGCTTACGTGACTTAATTTATTTATGACATACTAGTGAAAAAATAAAGGTAGAAATTGATATGAAGCATCAAATCGGCTACATCAAAGTCGTTCTTGAATGGCGCACGATGTTTTCTATTTATTTATGTTAAAGAAGAGTTTCGAACGCTTCCAATTAAAAAAAGAACAATTTCTTTTTCGAACGCTTCCATTTAAAAAAAGAACAATTTCGCCTCCTTCCCCCCGCCCCCTTCCCGTCCCCCTGATGCATTCCCAAGGTGGGCCGCCTGCGAGGAGCCGCCACGAGAATTTAGTAAACACCGGCCGGTGAGTCGCCGAGCTCCATTGTCAACGAGCCATTGTTCCCTATCAGTTTCACAATGCCCTATCGCCGAACGGGCCATAGACGCATTGTTCGGCTGATAAAAGGGTAACGTTTCCTACGAATGCAATGCATCGGCTGAGATAACGCGCGATTAGGTAATTCGGAAGCGCTGATGGCCAAATGTGTTTGTTCCAAAATGTCGTTGATAAGTCAAACGGCACAGTAACTAGCCCCATATTTGACAATGTACTCAATAATCTATTTATTAAATGGTCAAATAACGGGTTCACAATGTTTGTGTATAAATGTGTGTACCACATGAACATCAACAGCATTATCATCAATGCCGTCTTGGATCATATCGGGGCCCTAGGGTATACTTATTTGGGGCCCTGATGGAAAGTAAAAAAAATGAATGACAAAAACATTTTTCTGCTACTCTATCTTATATTTTTTATTTATTCTATGAACTTCTGCCGGAATATATTATATACCAAAAATAGAGAAAAATTATAGTTTAAGCGAATATGTCGGCCATGCGGGGCCCCCGTGAAGACAGGGGCCGTGGGAATAGGTCCCGTGTGCCATTATGGTAAAGACGGTAGTGCTTATCATATTGTCATCCCCTATTGGTGTGAAGAGAATCACTCTATAGTCAAATAATGATAAATTGGATTCTATTATTAAAAGAAAAAAACTTTTGCCACAAACTTGTTTAATACAATTTTGTTTGATATTAAAACTAATAAATGAGCTGGGAATGAAATTTTGGTGTGCATCAGAACAATATCAAAACATAAAAGTACCAATTATAATTTAGAGCATACTACCTAGTAGTTTCTTTTTGATATATTAAACGAAACATTACTCTATGAATATCAAATTTAACATTGTAAATGTGGTAGTTCATCTCTGAAATATTTATGCTTATACCAATAGGTTTTAGTTTTTCATGCCTTTTTTTAATTAATTATAAGATAGAGACTTTTTTATTAACATAAGATTTTATTAAAAGACTTAAGTGCAATTTCTTCCATGGGCTATTATAATGTGACTACTTATGAATAATATAATAGGCCGTATCAAGTTTAATTATAGTATTTACCAATTAATACTAGAGATAATTCCTAGTTGTTGAAATTATATATAACATGTTATGATATTTCTATAACAATATACAAAAATTATGTCAATAAATCCCCCAAAATTGTATTTTCCTTCCAGTCTATTTAAGTTTAAGCATTTACCTATATTGCACTTTTAAACGTGTTATTAAAAAGGTTGCAATTATGTGAATGCATATAATAAAAAAACAAACTGAAAAAAAAAATATATATATATATATATATATATATGTAGAAAACCTTCCACGCATTATGTAAATTTATTTGAATTAATAAAACAATCTTAAGTAGGTTTAATATACTTTCAGAGTTAAAAGTATGACATTAAAATGGTTGAATAATTTTATCATTGATGTACAAAACAGTGACTCTAAATATATTTACATAACTTACCTTATTATGAGGTAGAACTATGAAAGCACCTCCACCAGCGGATTCTACGATGATAGCCAAAAATTTTGGATTCACGGCACAAAAAGTAGAGTCCCACGAACTTTTGGAAACTCTGATGTTATCATAACACTGCTCCCTTTTCAGGGCTTGTCCATACACGTGGCGGAATTTAGAACTACGAACCACCCTAAAAGACATCTGTAAAACAAAATTCTTAATGTATAACAACACCACCAGTTTTAATACGAAAAATCTAAGTTATTTCACCTAAAACATAACCTATACAGAGAGATATTCTGACCTATTTTGACATTCGATTTAAATTACAATATTAAATTATAACTCACTTTTATATATAAGAAGAAATTAAAATATTTATACTAAAAAATTCAATGAAAACATTTGAATATAACTCGGTAAATTGTAGAAAATAAAATTGAGAGCTACTAGGGTTCGAAGGGAGGACGGTTGGGAAAACGAGCGAACTCCATATTTGGTAATGCCTACATCTACTGTATTTGCTGTTACAAAATTGAAAGAAACGAGTTAAAATACGTATTGTTAAGAAATAATTTATATAGAACTACGATATTATTTTCTTTATGTTATGTTATATTATTTTCTAAGCTTTATATTAGTTTATAAACAATTTCATTTGAATCATGTAAGTGTAATTTTTGAACGCACCAATTTAAATGTCAAAGTTTGTACTAAAACATCGTTCAAAATTAAGGATAATATTTCAAAATGTTAATTATCTAGATTTATAAATAAATTCTCTAGAATAATAACTTACCTTAGGATTAGGAACAGACAATTTGTTTTCTGAAGATTTAGAAGCGTCGGCAATTTGAGCGTGGTAACTGTGACATCGTTCTCTCCCTACTCTTTTTGATACTGGTGCCCGCTTAGTATTTGGGCTAGTGAAACTATTATGTCTTCTTATTTCCTGAAATAAAACTTTCATGGATAAATTTAAAAAGTCTTATTGTCTGTAAATGTCATTTCGTTAATTACTTGATTGAGTAAAATTTTCCATTAGCACCGGTTGTTTCTCAACCTATTCGGTAGAGAAAAATCACTAATGAAATAATATACAAGCAGAGTTCTCTGGTCACTTATAGTTTTTTGGGAAAAAAACTATTTAAAACTTGTTATTTCAATAAATAAATCCGCCATTTTACTAATTTGACTTCAAAAACTGAATAGGTACATAGTACTTCTTCTTCTTTCGCCTGCACTTATCCCACACTAGGGTGGGGTCAGCAGAAATTTGTTTTCGAAACCATAATGTTATTACATGTATTAGCTTTATTTTTATGACCAGCTGCCAGCTTGACGTCAACCCTCCAGAATTCTAGGGAATTTATATTTTTCTAGTAGATATACTAAAAACATAGTTCTTACAAAATGATAAATATAGGAAGCTGTTGATTATTTCATTACTGATTTTTATCTACCGAATAAAATTTTGTTTTAGGTCGAAAAACGCCCGGCGCTAATGGAAAGAAATACCCTATTTATATGATATATATAAAAATCACTAACTTTTAAACTAGCTTCGACTATTTTGGGGTTCATTAAAGTTACGAGTACGAATTAAGGGTAAGTATAAAGAAATACCAACAAATATAAAATATATATTTTTTTGGTGTTAATCAGATAATAATATGACCTTCAATTAAGGAATGTGCAACGCTCCATTGGACCTTAGGCTAGCAATAAATGCTAACGACTTTGAATTTTTGCAAAAATGAAATAGTTTGATGCTGATACTTGTTCCTACAAATCATCAATAGATAAGTACAAAACTAAAATTGGACAAAATTTCTAAATCTGTAAAATACTCACCCCATCTACATCCATTTTTTCAATCTCACGCATTATTAAAGTGGCTAAAACAAATAATAAGAAATTTCATAACACACAAAACAATGCAGTTTCACAGGTATTAAAATATGAAAGCTGTATAAAAGTGGGTATTTATATATTTTTATTTCAATTGTACCTACAACCTTTTAAGCATATTTTTTTTTAATTTATCGGCATAATTTTTTAAATTACCGTAAATTTATTAAAAATTTCTGGGCAGATTATTTTTTTTTTAGTTCGAAACGCTTTACCAAGTTATTCACAGTTTGAATTGAGTCACAATTTAACGTTAAAATATTTGCTTTAAGATATACATTTATAAAAACAGTATATACAATATACAAGCATAAATTGAATGTGAACTTTTCCATTCCTCTCTAAGACTCAAAAGACTTGATTCTAAAAAGCATTTTACAACAAATGCATAATTCAAAAATTTCGTACTGTCAGTCACTGACAGATGATCTAATGACTGTCTTTGGCTTGAGTTGACATATCATAAGAGAATTTTGCGGCGATTGAAAATATAAGCTCGTCTGATTTTTATGCGTGTAAACGTCTTTTTTTATTAAAAATGTTTTAGTTAAATTTGTATTACTGATAAGATAGTTTTCTTCTAATATGGATCCATCAAGAAGTAAGGTAATGCATATTTTACCAAATTGTTTATTTTCGCGTTGTTATCATTTTCAATATTATTAAATAGAACCTTTTCTTCTCGTATTATTAATCATATTTATTTATTTTGTAATACATTAATAATGTCAAGTTTATATACAATTTCCGTAGATATAAGTTTTTACCAAAACGTATACTTATTGGATTTTTTTAATCCATTGTCAATATTATTTTTAGATACGTAGAATTTTATACAGCTTTAAAAGCTTGTTAAGTTTTTAGGTAAAACCTGTAGTACCTGTAGTAAAGTAAGTACATGAACACATGAAAATAGCAAGTTTTGATAATTTATTTCTGTTAAAAATAGGTGTGACCAGTGATTTTTACTTGATTGATTCTAGTGTTTTATTTTAAAAATATTTCTCAGCGAAAAAAGCATAATCGCTATTATAGGCTTACCAGTTTTTTTTATTGTTATTATAACAATGTCTGTAATGTAACTCTTAAAACGACACAATTTCAAATATTTTTCAGTCTTATTTACAAAAATTTACTGCCATATTTCCTTTTATTAATAAATATAATTATATAATTTAGCACTTTTAAACTTTCTCAAAATAGTTTCACACAGGGCTTAGAAGAAAATTTCACCAACTTTCGGTAGAGCCTAACATCAATATATAGATTAAAGCATCAACAAGTTGGAGTTAATTAGTAATGGATATAAAAAAAAGTCATTTAAACATGTTTTGTGCTCTGAATGTATATTTGAAATGTCTTTGCTATGAATAATTAAGTTAATTCAAGGTAATCAGTTGTGAATAAATTTGTTTAAAATGTTTTTTTTTTTTTATCAATTACTTTGTGTATTATTTTTGTTAACACAAAATTGGATGCTTTAACAGCCTTTTAAAATGTTTTCTCTACATGTTATTAGCACATTTTGATCATAACATTTATGAAATCAATTAGTTTTGTATGTTTACATAAAAAAATTATCAGAATTGTTTATATTAGTATGTTGTAAACGAATGTAGTAACTAACTTCAAGGATATATGTGTATGTATAGACAATTTGATTACTACTTTAACAGAAATGTTATAACCTAAAAGTAGTTATTTTGACCTGCATGCACCTATACTAGGAAGGACTACCAAGGTTAAGTGTTCATGTGTTATTCATGACAAACAACTAGATTATCTTCATTATAAAAACAGACAATACTTTGACTGCTACTTGTCATTGTTAATGAAACATTATCAATTTCTTATCTTTACATTAAGATTATCAGTGTAAAATGTCATTTAATGATGTGCATGATGTATAATAAAATTTGACCTATGATATTCTGTTACATTTTGTGTATAGTGATAAGTTTATGTATTTTTATACAGTCGATTAATCACATCCACAACAGTAGTAATATACTCTACTGCCCTTGTCATTATGTCTCTGTTCTACCTAGGGTTAGCTGGTAGATAATGCAATATAGCATTAAGCTCGCCTTTGTACAATTTTTAGTGCAATAAAGATTAAATAAATAAATAATATAGGTAGCAGTTATAGAAAATTATTAGTAATTCATATTCTTTTCTCTTCCTGCTTATGACTAATTAATGCATGGATATTCTTTAGGATTAAAAATCAATGTGTAGCTAGTATTGGCTACGGATTAGGCAATTTTTCTGCACTTAATCTATTTTCTACCAGTAGCATGCCATGTGTTTCTCCATATATTTTTAAAGTCTTAAACTTGTACTCCGAATGTCCAATGCTATCAATAACCTGGAGGTGCTTGTTTAGTTTTAACAATTGGCTGTAATTTCTATTAGTTTCAAGATAGAAACCAATGAAGACATGAAGATTCCATTGAACCTTATCATCATATTCTACAGTTCTTAATTTAAAATTTAGGATAACTTAGGGAAACCTTAAAATTATAAATTTATGTGTTATATCAATATTTTTTTATATATGTTTGTATAACTTGAGAAAGCGGCCTTATTTCCTTCCGCAATGTGTTTAATTTTAAAATTGTGGTCAATGTGGTTAATTAACCAAAAATTGATTCAATCATAAGCTTGCATTTCCCTCCTTGTGGAAGGAAGACATTAGGGTAATGTATATAAATAAAAAGTGTGTCATATATGTTGTTTAACAAATTGAAGCCCCCTAAACATGTCCCCACTTTGTATATTTACGTAACTTTGAAAAAAAAATATATAAGATCCTCTTCGTGATGCGTCCAATGTGGATTTTACCCTTTTTGTCCTTTTTATTTTACCTCTTCTTGTCTTACCACCAAGAGGCAGGCTTTTCGAGGATACGAAATAAGCAACTCATTATAAATAATAGTGACAACCTGTGCAAATGTGCGGGAAGTCGATGGATGCAGGTGGCTCAGGATGCAATCTGTGGAGGAGGCCTATGTTCAGCGGTGGACTGCAAACAGGCCGAAATGATGATGATGATAAATAATTCCTTTTTACATGGGCCTCCCTTAGGCTGTTAATATCCGAGACCTCTCGGCCCATCGATGCAAGAAGCAAAGTAGTTTGTGTGTACGCGTCCAGTTCAATGTGCCATCTCCACTCGCAGGCCCGCTACCTTCGCGCGAAGCTGTGCGTGCTCAGCGCCGTCAACGCGGGCACCTTTGCGGCAGCCGTCAATCTAGTGCTGACCCTCGATCCGGAAGACAGGTGAGCTAGGGGCTCTACGCCAACTTTGGTTGTGGAGTCGTAGTTACGACGGAAACAAGCACAGATTCAAATTCAAATATCCTTATTCAGTATAGAAGCGTTACACTCACTTATTGATTGTTAAAACACTACCACTTTCTTTCATTCATTAATTCATTCATTTGCTTTGAAATACCTGTTTAATGTTCTTGTTAGTTTTTATTTTTTTTTTTAGTTTTCATTATTATTTTTTTTGTTTTTATTAGTTTTTAAATCATACTTTTTGTTTTTTTTTTTTGCTTTCACCACGCACTGCCGTAAATCGAATATGTAAACATTCTAGAGTGGGTTCTCACGATACAGGCCAGGCCTAGTGTGAGGACCACAAGTTACATCTTGCTTTGTCTAGTGCTGCAGTTCAAATGTTTCTCTTAATTTGATAACTGTAAATCTTATATTCAAATGTATATTGTTACTTTGGACTTCAATAAACTTATTATTATTATTATGGGGGTATTTATTTGTTTTCTCGTCTGGTTGGGTTTGGGGATAAATAATAAACACATAAATATATATTGCATCTATAAAATAAATATTATGAATAAAAATAAATATACAGGTATATATTATATATAATACATAAATAAATAGGACCCAACCAGACGGAAGCCCTCGGCAGGACCGGAGACCAAACGGCCGAGGGTTAGGGTGAGAGGTAGAGATGGGTCGTATCGCTTTTTCTGAGTACCGTATCTGAATCCGATTTCGATTTCAAATATCAGATTTCGAAACTATGTATTTTAATATCTAGATATTTTTTTACGGCCCCTTTCCACCTTGAATTCTAAAAAAAAAAATGTTTTCAATAATTATTTAGATTCCTCCGGGTTTAAATTTATTTATTGTGTTTATATGTTTCGAATTTATTTACTCCTAAATAAATTCGAAAACCCACTAAAATTTAATAAATTCAAAAAACTATTTTTTTATACTATTAAGGTAAAATTAAAACATTACCTGATTAAATTAAAAATTTCATAAAAAATACAAATTGAAGTAATATAAAAATGATTTATTTTAACATCTTATATATCGCTTAATAATTGACTTAAACATATTTTTAGAACACGCAATCATGAGTGACAATATTTTTATAATTTGTGTAAGAAATAATACATTCAGTATTATAACTTAGGGCAGAAGAATTTAAAATATACACACAAAGCACATAAGCCTTGGTCTGATTTCCACCCAAGCAGCACAGCACTATTAAATTATATTTTTCTTTTTGTGTAGTTTTATTTTTTTTCAAAAATATGAATAAAATTTAACTAATAAAAATATTCACAAAAAATTTACCTCCTAAAAAAATTTCCATTGTATATTTTTCTTCCTTAATTTAGGCAGAAAATTCTTAAGTAGTAAGTTGGCATCCCTTACTATTACGTGCTAGGTACCAATGCAATCCAGCTCAAGGCTAAACAAAATTTAAAGACATCGTTAATACCATAATTCGTATTTAAATGCAACAAAGTTTTTTTCCATGCTGTTAAGATTCAAAATTACTTAACTGCGCGCTTTGTCGCCCGTTACGGCTCAAGGCTAAACAAAACAATAAAAATATAATAATATCGTTGTAGTAATCGTTGATACCATGATTAGTATTTAATTGAAACGTATCTTATTTGTATGGCGTTAAGATTCAAAATTACTTAATTTATTCATAATATCTGTTTTAAAAATCTGATATTGTGCCTTGCTTGCCGTACTGCTCTAACTAGTGTAATATTTGTATCTCACGCGCTTTGTCACTCAAAATCTGATATCGTGCATTGCTTGCCGTCCCGCTCTAACTAGTGAGTATTTATATCTCACGCGCTTTGTCTCTCGAAATCTGTTTAAAAATCTGATATCGTGCATTGCTTGCCGTCCCGCTCTAACTAGTGAGTATTTGTATCTCACGCGCTTTGTCTCTTGAAATCTGTTTAAAAATCAGATATTGTGGCAAACGCGTATGATATCGCGATTCGTGTCGGTATAGCGAGCGAGCACGGTACATCAGATTTCGGAAATATCAGATATTGTAAAATACATAGATATTGAACGAGCCAGTAAGCGATATTCGGATATTGTACTAATATCTAGTTTTCATATCTGATACGATTTGTATCGCCCACTTCTAGTGAGAGGGAGAGAAACCGGCGGACGATGCGGGCGGTATCGAGGAGCACCGCCTTCTGCATTTGAGCTTGGAGCGTTCCGTCCCGGAGTCCCAGTCGCCTCAGATGTTCGGAGAGGCTGACTGGGATTAACCCATTCGCAGACACGACTATTGGGATAATTTCAGTCGGCACACCACCACCCCACATGTCGGTCACCTCGTGAGCCAGGTCCAGATACTTCGTCTTCTTATCTGTTTCGGCTTTCACGAGGTTCTCGTCATATGGAATGGTAATGTCGACCAAAATTACCCGCGACTGTCCCCGGTCCATCACCACGATGTCAGGTTTGTTCGCGACAATCGTCCTGTCCGTGATGATGGGCCGGTCCCAATAGAGCCTGGCGCGGTCATTTTCGAGCACGGCCTCCGGAGATTACTTGTAGTACGGCAGTTTCCGTTCCACGAGTCCGTATTTCAGAGCGAGCTCCTGGTGTATAATTTGTGTCTATGCAGATACTCAGAGTTAGAAAGCATGGAACAACCGGAGATAACATGCCGTAGCGACTCCCCGGGATGGCGACAAGTTCGACAGATGTCGACGGTGCCATCCCTTAGGATGTATCTCCGATAGTTGTTCGTCTTAATAACCTGATCCTGTATCGCACAGACAAAACCTTCGGTTTCCCCAAAGAGGTCACCGAAACGTAGCCAGTTAAGGGAGGCAACGGTATCTACGAAAGGCTCGTGTAGAGCCTTGTAGAACCTCCCGTGGAGCTCTTTCTCCTTCCATACGGTCTCTCGGTCGGAAACGCTCAGTACTCCCGGGTCCTGCCATTGCTCGTTGGCTAAGGATAGAGGGGTAAGTCCTTTATCACAACTAATGACGTCCGTGTAGATTGATTCATCCGATCTCGCCAGAAAGTAGTTACGGAGGCTGCACACCTCGCGATTGTGCATGGTGAGGGCGCTTAAAAAAGCCCCTCCCGCCATGCTTCCGCGGCAGGTACAGCCTCATCACTGACGATCTCGGATGATGCATTCTGTGGGACGTCATAGTTGTGCGGACTTTTCGATCCAGGGCGTTGAGCTCAGTTTGAGTCCACATGAGTATGCCAAAGGTATACATGAGGACTGGCATGACCCAGCCGTTAAATGCGCGTGCCTTGTTCACGCCTGACAAATGGCTGTTAAATACCTTTGTCAGGCGTGCAAAAAAACTTATTATTATTAATTCATTACCACAGGAAAAGAAAACTGAGAGGAACCGGCGAAATAAACTGCGGTCCCTTTTTTATCATTGTCTATTTTTATGACAAAGAATCATGTTTACCACGTATTAAAGTCCGCTTGTAATAGCCTGGAGCGATCAATTCATTTGCAGGGTGTGTTGTTATTTAAATGATCACTAATATTAAAACACGACATTCGTTTCGCTTTTCGGTTGTCCACAGTTAAAACTATAAAATCAGCTGCTGGTTATCGTATCCTGCGAAATTGAGAGGTGGCTGAAATATCGATAGCGCCCCTATGTATAAATGGACCAGATATTTTCAGTAATGAATTGGTAGTAGTTATGTATGTCTCACTGTGAAGCGGCCGAATAATTGCTTTGTTGAAGGTCAAATTTCTAGGGGTCACGTTCCATGCCGACGTGTCATTTCGTACCCACATAAATAACGATAAAATATAGTCGCCTTCGTTTCAGACCTTTTTTTATTTATTACTATTTATTACTAGCTATGCTACGCGACTTCGTCCGCGTGGAATTTAAAACGAAAAAAAATTCTAAAATTAAAGTAGCCTAAGTTACTCCTTACTACATCAGCTATCTGTCAGTGAAAGTCCCGTCCAAATCGGTCCAGCCGTTTCGGAGATTAGCCAGAACAAACAGACAGACAGACAGACAAAAATTGTAAAAAAATTTATTTTGGTATATGTACAGTGTATACATCCATATGCATTTAGTAAAAAGCGGTTATTTTAATATTACAAACAGACACCCCAATTTTATTTATCTGTAAAGATTACGTTGGGAACTCTGCGAGCTCTTAATATCTATTGGCATACAAGATTTTTTGTATAACTATTGATCTCCTCGAGAGCACAAAAAAAATTATTCCTGTACAAAATGAGTCGCTGAATAGCTCAGTGTCGTTTTTTATTAGACTTCAAAAGGAGGAGCTTCTCAATTCGATTATGGTTTTTCGATGTATGTACACCGATTACGCTGAGATTTATGATGCGATTTACGTATTTCTTTGATGCAGAATAGTTGCCATTTGGTCCCATAAAAATTTAACATAATTTGACCAAGTAGTTTTCATTTTACGTACATTTTTAATACATTAAACTCGAGCAACCTGAGTTCTACTCCCGGTGCCGGCAACAATGAAATTATTAATTTAAGTGCTGATTTATCACACGCTCAGCGACAACGGAAAGCATCGAGAGGAGACTTGTATATTTTCGAAATAATAGCAAAAAATATACATTCGGAAGATATGTTAATTGGCAGTGGGGCGGCGTGGCAGACTGTCCCCTAAAACCCTCTGTAGAGAGGAGGCCAAAACATAATATTATGGCTGTTACTTTCCTATAGCAAAATGGTGCAAGGTGCTATAAATAACGTCGGCACGGCTCTTATAGCTTCCCGAAACGATTACTTCTAACGGCTCTTCAAGACAACTAATCAGAAAGACATACTATCTAAACGCTCTGGCGGTGAACATAGAAAATTAATAAGTACTAGCGACCCGCCCCGGCTTCGCACGGGTGCAATGTATTATACATATAAACCTTCCTCTTGAATCATTCTGTCTAGTAAAAAAGCCGCATCAAGATCCGTTGCCTAGTTTTAAAG